TCCAGGCCTCCCAGGTCCCCCCCCCTCCCAGGTCCCGGCAGCCTCCCAGGTCCGGGCTAGGCGGTTGGGAGGGTCCAGAGCAGGGCACCTGGCTGCACAGCAGCTCCTCCGGGGAAGCTTGCAAAGGAAACCCGCCCAGGCCCTCCATGGAGTGACCGGAACCAGCTCCGGGCTGGGTGAGGAACCCAGTGCAGGAAACCCGTCTGTGGGGCCAGGAGGGAGGCGCAAGTGCCCTGGCTTAGGGCCAGCCTCTGACTCCTGCACAAAGGGGCGGGCAGGGCGTGGGGTGCCAGCCAGCTCCTGGGAGGCTTGTAATGGGGGCAGGCCTCCCTCATTCCTCGCGCTCCCGGAGGGGAGGGTACCTGGCACCAGTCTTCCTTCCCATCCCCTCCCTCCTCCCTTCCCCAGCCTCGCCCCGCGCTGGGAGACCGGGTGGGACCCAGGGTGGGCTCAGCTGTGGCGGGAAGTCAAAGCGTCCAGACTGCGAGTGCCTGTAGGCGGCACCAGGCACTGACGCTGCGTGCACTTTATTTAAAACCACCAAGTGCTGATAAAAACACGTGTCACTCCAGCCGGGATTCCTCCTCAAACCCTGACAGTAAGAGCTGGCACGTGGTCACTCCGCGTCACGTATGTCACATGCCCGGCCGTCAGAGGAGGGGGCCCACCCCCCGGAGCCTCAGGGGAGAAGCGCCCGGTGGAGAGGGGTCTGCAGACTGCCCTGCTCCCCGCAGAGCATGTGAAGGGAAGGGGGGCCATCTCGGTGTGTCTGCTCCGTGACCCTCCCAGGCCCTGGGAGTGGCCTGATCAGCGGCCCCTCGGGGCGGTGGCGGTGGCGGTGGTGGGAGTGGAGAGAGATGGAGGCCGCCTGAGCTCCACAGACAAGTCCTTTTGTCCTCAGGTCCCTGAAACCCCCGCTGGGCCTGCTTGCAAGCACCCAACGGGGCAGCCAGCCTCTGCTGCGGCTGGAGGGGATCTGGAGCCACTCTCTACGGGACACAAAGCAACCACAGCACACTCTCCTACACACAGTAGGGCAGCCGCAAGCATGGGGCCCACAGCACACACGGGGCCCACGGCACGCATAGGGCAGCAGGCAAGCGCAGGCCCGCTGGCGCGGATTAAGGCACTTGTAACAGACTCAGGTCCATCTCGCCCCCAGCCCCACGGGGCAAGGTCCCCACCTCCCTTCCCCTCAGCTTCCATCGGCCTGCCTCTCCCCGCCCTGGGCAGGAAGGGGAAGGAGCCGGTCTTGAAGGACAGTGGTGGGCTGGGGCGCAGGGCGGGGAGGAGACGAACAGGGAGGGAGCCGGAACTTGGCAAAGGAGAAGAGGGCGGGAGAGGGAGAGCAGCAGCAGGAAGGCGAGGGGGCCGCAGTCGCAGGAGGCCAGGCGATGGCAGTGATGCTCGGAGAGCAGAAGCACGAGCTGGGGGGTGGGGGGGGCTTCCAGGCCGCCCTGCGGAGACGGCTGGGGGCAGAGAAAGGGGTCAGAGGACCAGCAGAGGAAGGGTCTCCCTCCCGCTCAGGGGGGGCTGGGGCAGAGGTGAGAGTCCTCAGGGTCCAGGGCCAGGGCCAGCGAGGGGCAGGGGCTGGAAGGAGGGCCAGCGGCCCAGAAGCAGCTCAGCTCTTTGGTACGAAGACGACGACGGTGCCGGGCGTCCTCCTCCCTCCTCCTCCAGGCCCCGG